CCTTGTGGGATGTCAGCGCAGACGGCTTCGCGAGGCTTCAGCGTGTGTACCCAGCCTCCTCGCGGGATCGTTCAGAGGTCGAAGCTGAGGTGGGGCGACGTGCCTGACGACAGGCTTCCAGGTCCAGTTCCTTTGCCTCCAGGTGGGCTCTTGGAATCTGAATAGGGCTGGTACTATTAACTTTCGTGGGAAGGAGGTCCTGAGGGCTTTGAAGATTAGGGGCTCGCTCTTCGGCTTGCAGGAAACACAGAATCTTGTTGGGGGAAAATTCGATGCAGTATTTACTAGACTACGTCAGGGTATTAGATCCAGCAGGTGCTCAAAGTGTGCTATTCTTTGTAGTGCTGAGTGGGCCTCGTCCATCCGACATTGTATGTGTGAGTTTGATCGTTTCTGCGGGGTAGTTTTCGGCAGTGGCAAATCTCCACTGGTTGCCTTCGCATGTACTCACCTGATCAAGGTATTCCAGATTGTGAAGATATCCAGAGCTCGATGATTGGGCAACTGGAGAGTGTTGTGCGTTCTCTTGGAGGCATATGGTGTAAGGCCAGCTTTGTCTTTCTTGCAGATGCCAACGTGGAGGTGCCACCACGTGCTCGTGTTACGTGTGCACGCACGGGGGAAGAGTTCGAGGCGGTTGGTGGAGCTACGAAGGAGGTGAAGATGATCGTGGATGAAGGAGGAGCTCAACGGGAACGGAGGGATTGCAGAGAACGGCTACGCAGTAACTTCTTAGGATTTCTCGCCCGCCTGGGGTTGAAGGCGGCGAACACGTTTCAAGATGTGAGGCTTCATGCCTGGGAAGCGTACGGGGCCGCGAAATGGGGCACCTCCACAAAGGTCCTGGGCTATATCCGGGCTCCGATGGGTTGGCAGACTACGGATCTCCTGGTCAAAAAACATCTTCCACAATGGGGGTTCCACTAATCGTTGCAGATTAAGTGATCATGCGTTGGTGCACGGTGCCTTCTTCAAACCTGGTGTGGAGATCCATCGATCTTTTACTAGAATTGCCGCTCGTGAACGTTCTCTAAGAGTCTAACATGGGATGATATGAGCATGGCTCGGAGACGTATTGATGGGTTTCTTGGGGATGCCACTGTATCGTGTTCTCCTGGGGGTCTATCTGGAAAGTTCTCGAGCGCTTTCACGAATGAAGAGAACGTGAATTTCACGACGGCTAAGTTGGGTCGCGGCCTGCCGCCCGTCCGCCCACACGAGGAGCTGCAGCGTGGCCTAGAGAAGTTACGCTGTGCAGTGCCTGCTTTATCTGATGAGGGGCGCAGGGAGCTCCGAGTTGTTTGCAATCGGTATCGTAAAGCTTACCGACGCGCACTCGCTGAGTGGGGCAGTCCCATTTCGGGGCGCAAGGTTCGCCACCGCCTCAAGCACCTTGTGATAGACGGGATGGTGACGGAGGACAGGGGGGAGTGGAGGCGGGAAGTTCAGAAGTAGTCTACGGCCACGTTTTCGTCGGAGGAGGTTTGGGAGGAGAGCGTCAAGATGTTGGAGGACCTGAGGAAGGAGGCTGTGTCCAATGTTAAGGACGGACGGTGTACGGAATACATCAGCATGGCTGTCCCATGCAGGGCGCGAGGCCACCTGAAGACGTTGCGGGCGACAGGGCCCGGCCGTGTGGCAACGGAAATACTTCGTGCTCTCCCCTGGTCTGCCCTCCGCTCTATCCAGATGCTCTTCGATCGGATATTCACGTGTTCTCAGAACTACCCTGGCGGGTGGAGGGAGGTCTTGATTTTGTTTATGGCCAAGGCCCCCTGTTTGACGACGTTGTCCGAAGGTCGCTTCCTCGTTATGCAAAATGTAATCTCTCGTTGGTATTCAGCCTGTGTGGTCATCCTTACAGAGAGCTTTGTTCAGCGCTCTGGAATATTCCATAGCTTGGGTATCTACGGGTTCCAGGAGGCACGTGCGACTTGGGAGTTTACTAGCAGTCTAAAACCACTGGCCCAACGTGGGGATACGTGGGGTAAGAGTGAGAATGTGTACATCCTGAATGCGGATATCAAACAGGCGTTCGATCGTTGTAGTTCAGCGAACGTGAGGAAGGGTTTACAATGCGCACATGTACCTCCATATCTTCAATATGCTCTACTGGCTCCGTTATGTGGTACAAGTGGTACGGTGATTGTCGAAGGGATGGCAATTCCTGGGCTCCATTGGGATAGGTGTATACGTACGGAGGGCCCTGAGGGGCCTCTAGTGTTCAACCTGGTTATCGTGGCGATGTGGGCCGATGTCTTCCGATCTTGGGATGTGAAGGGATTGGGCTACCGAGTGGAAGGCCTCTTCGGGTCTGCACGTAAGGGGCTCATCATCAGTCACTTTCTCTGGGCGGACAACGTCTATCTTGTAGCTGGCTCTGTTCAAGATCTCAGGGCCATGAGTGACGATCTAACATTACTCCTTGTCTATTTCGATATGGCGTGGAAGATGTCATCATTGTTGTTCATGTCCTGTGGTGCAGCACCACGTTGTGACGCAGACGGCGTGATTGTGTCCGCGGAAGATCTGCTTGTCGATGTGCCCGACACGCCAGAGGTCTTACGATTCCGCAGAGTTTCTTCGATGAATGTGCTTGGTGTCGAGATCCATTCAGAGGTCAATACTCCTGCCCATCCTGATGCTGATTACCGTCTGTCCATGGCACGTAAGAGTTTCTTCGGTATGGCTAACTATTCCGGATGTTCGGCTGTAAGTATACGTGATAAATTCTGGAGGTATCAGGAGAAGGTCCAGGGGACTGCCATGTACGGGATTGAGGGTATGACGCTCGATAATCATTCGCTCCAGCGTGTGCACTTTTTCGAAGGTTTCTGTTTATGTAAGATGTTCACGTGCCCCAAGGCGCCTGGAGAGGATGTTTCCACATGGAGTCGGAGAAATATGCGGAGGCAAGGAGGAAGTTTCAGGAGATGGGGCTTGCATCCATGGTGCAGAGGTTTCGAGGTTTCTTCGGGTTTTCTGGAACCTGGCCAAAGACATGAGCGAGTTTATTCACGTTGTCAATGCGGACATTCACGATGAGTGGAAGAATGCGGATTGGCCGTGGCGTGATGTGCGTGCTCGTCTGTGTGCGTACGGTGTGATGTGGGATCGTATTCGTACGGGTGCACCGGAGTTCTTGCGCATGAATTTCTGCTTTCGGGAATCTAGTGAGATGAAGCGTCAGCGCGGAGGGGGCCTGGCCATCGGACAACGGCATTGGACCCACATGTTTTCGGATATCTTCGGGCCCAAATGGTGGGAAGGTTTTCGTGCTACGCCATGGGCCTTTGAGCAGTTTGCTGCGCGTGCTTGCTCCCGTGCTATGCTCGTTTGCTTCCAGATTCGTGCTAAGAGGTCTCAGTCAGCCTCGGTTTGCAGGTGAGGTCCATACCCAAACCCAGCAGGAACTTCTGGAGTATGAGGTTACGGAAGGCTCGCAACTCGCCAATGATCGACTCGCTAAACTTCTGACTGTACACACATCCAAATGGGAGAATGTCGATTGGGATCTTGAAACCTTCGGAGTCCCGATAAGTAATCATGGTGATAGTCTCTTGGTTGTATCATGGTGCTAGGGATACTGGCAGGTGATCAATTTGGATTTCCTACGGAGAGTTGACAGGATTATTAACCGCCTGGACGGTATGTCTTTTGTGTTCCACACGCGCCCCTTTGCTCCTGGACGTGACCTGATCGAACACTGCTTGGGAGAATGGAATACGAGGGCGGACGTGCCCACTCATACTGCCCGCGAGGGAAACGACATATTTCAGGATCGTATAGGGCATGGGCCCAATTATATTTCTAGTCTTTACAGGTATTGTGCCATCGAATGTGGTTTCGATGGTGGTGTGTCGACGGCTGGTGTCGGAGTCGGTTGCTGGATTGATGTTGGTCGTGTCTCGCGGACATGTCGTAAGCCGAGCTCCAGAGATATTGTATGGGCGGAGGTTCACAGTGCTGCCTTCGCTATCGACAACAATGCTACAGTTACCGATGGCGGGATGTCGGCGATTGAACATATCATTGATGTTCTTCCACGGGTTGTCTCCACATACCTCGAATTTGAACTAATGTGATTTGTGATTGCGTTGTTTTTCTTCATGCTTGTGTGTTCTCATGCATGCACGTGTGTTGAATAAGAGCTTCGCTTGACTGTCACTTGTTCTGTATAAGAGCTCCGCTCTCCACGCTGCCGCGCTCGCTGTGGTTGGCGGTTTGGCTCGCCCTGTATGTTGCCCGTTTCTTGCTTGCGACTGGGCCAGACGGCCCGCGCAGTCGACCGCAAAGACCGCGAAACCAAGGTTGACGGTTTACCGCCGGCTTCCTGTTCTTGCATACATCCCGACAGGGTAATGCGACCAGGTCGTCGGGCGGGCAGGACATAAGGCGGGGGACTTATACCTTCACAGTGAACCTGGTGGACCCTGACGCCTGACGGGCGGGTCGGGCGGCGGATGCTAATGGCTGGGTCCAGCAGGTCTAGCCGTCGGACTTTAAGGAATGGGTGGTTCAGGCGGGCGGACCCTAACGAACGGGTCGGGCGGGCAGGATGTTGAAGCGGGCGGGCGGGTTTCCAAGCAATCGGCCCAGCAGACCCTCATAGACGGGTCGGGCGGGCGAACCCTCGCGGGCGAGCGCTGACGAGCGTGCCGGCCGACCGGACCCTATTGGGCGGGGTGGCTGGGGCGGGATATAAAATCGCTATTATTGCGCGCGTTGTCAGGAAGTCTCAGTCGAGAGGGCGACTATATTATGAGGAAGTGCCAAGCGAGAGCTCGGTTCCTGAAAGGCGACAGCGCGATGCACGAAAAACGGTTTGAGAAAAGTCCATGCGAATACGCAAATTTTGTAGTAAGTTGCTCGGAAGTTTCGAGCGAGAGATTCTTCAATTAATTGCGGGGAATTATACGGTGGGAACCATATTATTGTTGTGATCGGGGTCCAGGGGCTCAGTATGAACATCATTATGTTCCCCGAGCGAACAGTGTGCGATAGCCGATAGCAAAAGGGATCAGTTCAGTTGAAAGACGCAATGGGTACTGGTGGGGCGGGTTCAGCGAGAAGTGGTTTCGTGAGTGAGAGTCAAACATCAGGAGCGATACTCTGCCCCCTGTCCCCTAGCATACAGACAGGTGCACCAACGTCGCCATCATGAGTGTCCGCGCCCATTCTTGCTGCAGGATGCCCTCGAGCGGGCTGCCCCTGGGGAAAAGTGCTTAACCCAGTACCTGCTGGCAGAGGGGCCGGCGCAGTCCACCATGGCCTCCCCAATGCCGAGCGGCTCCCGTGGCTGCTCAGCCGCCGCGGCCGCTTCAGATGGGCGGGAGCAGTGGCAGGTGTACACCATTCCAGGAAGGAAGAGGTGTGTCAGCATAATCTTTCGGAGGTCCGCGCGGAGTTTTTGGATCGGCGCTGTGCCCCACCCCCTGGCGCGCGGAGCGCGCCAGGGACGGCGCTGGAGGCACCGCCGCGGAGCTCCAGCGCCGATCCCAGAAATCCGCGCGGACCTACAGTTTTTTACGTTTGTCTCCCCTTCTTTCCACGAACCGTCGAGCGTAAGCATACATTCCTCCACATAGTGGAAGAGGTCGAGGTGCGCTGGCGGCGGGAGAGGCTGCCGCGCTCCAGGTCGGCTCCGGCCGCTTTGGATGCCGACCGCCCAGAGCCTGCTCAGCAGGAAGCGCAGCGCTCCAAGTCGCAGCGCAGGAGGCAGCAGAGGATTGCGGGGAAGAAGAGGACCCGGGTGAGAGAAAGCCCCACCCCCCCCCAACGTGTTGGAGAACCCAGCTGGAGGCGTTTTGGCCTCCCACGGCCTTAACCAGCCGCGGCAGCTTATCCAGGGTACTACTGTGTCCTGTGCGTCGCGTCTCCTTTTCTCTGCATTGCTGCAGCAAGGGTGACATTAAGATTGTGGAGCCGCGTTGCCCTCGGACGAGTTTGGCGTTCTGGTTCCTCGCTGCGCCGTGACCGGGGGATGGAGTCGGGGAGGAACTGTTTTGCCTCAAAGTCCAAGATGGTTTCTCCAATGCCTGGCAACATTATGTCTCTCGTGGGGTGCCTCGTGGAGCTGCAGGCCAGCCTGGCCAGGTCCGCGGTGACCCAGGAACGGTCGCCAGGGGCACTGGCCAGACGCACCGCCCCGAAGGGAAGCGGATTGCAGCAGGCGCGAACATTATAGGGTGAGAGGGGGCGGGAGCGCTAGACCCCGACCCTTGGAACAGGGCGCCTGCGCGCGAGTTGAATCCAGCACAACGGACGAGGAGCGAGCGAGCTAGACGAGCCGAGCCCCGCGACCACCCGAGTGCACAGCCCCCTAAAGAAGGACGCCTCCTCGCGCGAGTCCTTTCCAGGCAAAACTCGCCAGGCAACAATGCAGCCTCGGGCTTCGGGAGGCGCCCTGGTTTCCGGGGCGTCTCTCAGACCTAGGTCGGAGGGCCTGCTCGTGGCCGAGGCTAGCTGTGGTCAGAAAGCCTTCTTTCCTCATTCCATGTTCCTTACGGCTGGTTCGTGTCGTGTCGACTCTGCGACGACCCCGCCGCGGGCGTTCAAGGTTGATCGCCGCCAGTGGCCCAGATTCAACTACGACGGAACGATCGGGCGACCGAAAAGCCGACCATCGATCAAGGTCGAGCGATCCACGTGGTGTCAGAAACCAGCGCCAGGGTCGCCTGGACGCGAAACTGCTGCGCAGTGGTACGATGGCTGCACATCGGGTGCCCGAGGCACGCGCCACCCCCTGGCCTCCGGCCCCGCTCTGGGTCCAGGTCTTGGCGCGTGCCAGCTCCAGGCCATGCCAGGGGCAGGCGCGCGCGAAGGTTCTGGGTGACCCAAAGGGGGGTCCGGCGACAAGGGGGGTGGTGCAATTGGTGCGATAGATTTGTGGGGTTGCAATACATTTGGGGCGTTTAATACATTTCGGGGTGCAGATGTATTGCTGTATTTTCGCGTGCAATGCATTAATTGCAATGCAATGCACTACGTTTCTCCAGCGCAATGCATTCGAAACACGGTTGTCCCAAATATATTGCACCACCCCCTTTCAGCTGGACCCCCTTCTGGGTCACCCAAATAGGGCCCGTTCTTCAAGGACCAAACAGTGACACAAACATGAACTTTCGGGAGATCCGCGCGGCGCTGGAGCTCCCTGGCGCGCTCCGCGCACCATGGAGGCGGTCAGGCGCCGAGCCGAGAAATCCGCACGAACCTCCGAACATTCTTGTTTCTGTTATTTGTTGGTCTTGTTAGTTCTAGGCCCCAGATGAGCCCGTGGAGGCACGGCAGAATCGTGTGGTATCAGCATCGCCGGGGCCATCCCAACCGTTCCTGGGACCGAGCTCGGATGGCTCTCCCAGCATACCCCACCAGGGTGCCGCGAAACCCAGAAGAGACGGCGCCCTTCCCGCCCAGGGGGGATCTCGGCGGGCGAGGTCAAGGTTTTCTCTGGACGCTATCGGGGAGCCACGATGGCTTCATGTCGAGCAACCCACGCTTTCAGAAGCCAGCGCCGAAGTCGTCAGGACACGAACCTGTCGTAAGATCGACCGTGGCCTTGGAAGACTGCCATTGCGTTCTTCGTGACTCGGCTCTCCACCCTGGAGTGCTCGTCGCCTCCACCTCCACCACCTTCCCGGGGCCCTTAAGCTCTGGCTAGGAGGCCTGTTCGACTACACGTAGGAGTGACCCTTCGCCGGAGTGACCTTTGGTGCGGGCCCGTTGGGGCCCCCCGGCCGCCGAGCGCGATTGCGATAGTAACGTCTTGCGCGCTCGTTTTTGGCCTCCCGCGGCCCCCCCAACAGCCGCGCACCAAAGGTCACTCTTACCCAGGGTCACTCTTGCGTGCAGCCGACCTGTGCTCTCCCACATTCCTGTGGACGTGTTCCCGCAGTGTGCCCCTCCCCCCCCCCAGAGGAGGCGCGGTGAAGCCTGGGCGGGCGCCAGCGCGCCGCCGCTCTGAGCGCGCCCCTTGTCCCCTATCTCCCTTTGCTCCGCTGCTCCCTCGGCTGCCGCTGTTCCTCTTCTCCATCCTCGAAGTTTTAAAGCTGGTGGCCGGCCAGGCCCCGGTGGGTCCGAAGCGGTCTCTGAGACTCACGCCGGGAGACCACACGAACTTTTTCAAGCTGCTATCCTCGCCGCTGCTTCCTCCATCTCCGTCGCCCTGCCCCTCGGGCGGGGCGAGGAGGCGCCGAGGGCTTCTGCAGATCATCGGGGTTGCCGAGGGCTGCGCTGGCCCAGGGTTCCAGCGCAGCCTCGGTCCAGAGCGAAGGTTGGGACATAGTTTCGAGGAGGCAGTGTCTGCCCTGCAGTCCTCTGCCGTACTCCTGCACTTGGTCACTTGCCGCAGACTGCTGCGTCGCCAGGCGACCCCATACCGTGAGCGGGCGGAACAGCGAGGACGAGGAGGATCTGGGGGGGGAGCGGTGCGGGGAGGGCCCTGAGTCTCACGGTCGGATCGGTGCCCCGCATCCCCAGGATATGCGAGGATTGACTCCTTTCTTTGGCACCACTTTTATATATCTTACTCACCCTGTTCGGCCGCCCCTAGTGTCGCATTCGCCAGCGGTGATTTTGGCCTCGTTTGCGCGACGGCAGGCGGCATGGCCAGAGTGCATCACTCTTGGCCAGCCAAGCGGCCCGGCAACATCCGTAAGGGTTTCGCCCTCTGCCGACGGCCCCCTCTTTATCAGAATTGAGGATATCACGGTCGTGTCGGGGTGCCTGGGCGCCGCCTTGAAGACATCATGCGTCAGCAAACCATCTGTTCTGTGTTTGGGCTACTAATTATCATGTTGCTGCGTTGTTGGAGCGTTCTCAGCGCGACTCTAGCGAAATTGGCAAGGGGTCTTGGCATCGGGAGCGCGAATCACGCGTAATGTACAAACGGATTCTGGCCTCGAGCGCGAATATGGTGTAATTGATAGAGGCTTCTGGCCTCGGGAGCGCGTACCTCGCGTACTCTCAAGGAATTCTGGCCTCGGGAGCAAGAATTTCGTGCGTTTCAAAAAGCAGCCTGGTGCAATTGTCAGTACGAATCGCGTGTGCTGTACACGGGGATTCTGGCCTCGGGGGCGCGAATCGGGTGTAATTTTGGAAGGATCATAGCCTTGGGGGCGCAAGTTCAAGGAGTGCTGAGAACCCGAGGAAGGTGACGGTGGCCAGGCTGGTGTTCGCTTTCACCGCATCTCGCGCGGACAATAATATCTTACAGTAGAAGACAGGGAGCAGTATCAGAACATTGGAAACTAAAGATTGGAATTGGCACGGGGAGCAGCCTCGCAGCCTGATGGCGCCACAAAGGGGGCTGGCGGATTTTAGCCCAGCAGGGGCTGATCTGCGCTTTCAGCGACCCGCCCACTGGGGTGGCATGCCGTCGTGCGCTCACAGCATCGGCCACTGCACCAGCCACCCTGCAGCGTGACCCTGGGAGGCGCGGCTCTCGTCCCTCATCTCCTTCTGGGGCAGCAATGTGCGGCAGCGCAGAGCTGCCCGCGGCCTACGCGCGCCTGCTGCGCAGGCGCAGGCCCACCTGCGGCGTGCGCCAGGGCTCGCCGCAGGCGCTTTCTCCCACGCCGCCCCCTTCTTTTCGGTAGCAAGCCATGGGAGCCTCGTATACCTTCGCAATTCCGCCTTCGAATTGCGTTTAGCGTCTGGTACTCGATGAGATAGCGCCACTCCAGAATCGGCTAGGCGTCGATGTAGCGTCGATGAGGGTCGATGAGTTTAGATTAGCGCCGATTCGCAAGAGCCTACAGGATAGTATTTGAGGCTCCCATGAGTTGCCACCGAACCTTCTCTTTTGAGGTGCGATTCAGGAATCCGCATCTCACCGTGCAAAAAACATCGCGCACATATCATTCAGTGTGAAGGAGCTGTCTCATGCAGTGGGCCATCCTGCCACTGCGATCCAAACGGCAATATCGAAGTATGGGTCCTCCGAAAGATGGTACCAGTCTGAGCTCGTCGTGAGGTCAGACTCAAGTGGGCCCTGGGGGGGAAGGTGGGGTGAGTGAGGACTCAGAACTTACGTAGCGAGCGAAGTGGAGGACGAGGATGAACAGGAGAAGGGCGAATTGGGAAAGACGGAGGAAGAGGAAGAGGAGGAGTAGGAAGAGGAGGAGGACGAGGAAAAGAGGATGAGTAACGAGGATCTGGGAGGCCACAATGTCAACGTTTGCATGCAGGCACCGCAGTCATGTCGGCACCACCCTCACCAGCATCGCGGCCCCATAGGGAGCTCCACCGAATGCCCGAGAAGTTGCATTCGCAAGGCGGCATCCCGCCCATGTCGGCACACCCCATCACGAGGATCGTGACCCCAGAGCTCCGTCGAAGGCCCCAGTGGCTGCACTCGAATGGCGGCACATTCGTTTCGGCACACCCCTCACGAGGACCGCGGTTTTATGGAGATCTCGACCGAAGGTCCCAGTGGTTACGTTCGAATGGCGGCACCGTGCCCATTTCGGCACACCCCTTACCCTGGTCGTGTTGGCCCCATAGGGATCTCCACCGAAGGCCTGGGTGGCAGCTTCGCATGGTGGCACCACACTCATCGGCACACTCCTCACCATGATCGTGGACCCATGGAGATCTCCACCGAAGGTCCCAGTAGCTATGTTCGAATGGCGGCACCGCGCCCATTTCGGCACACCCCTTACCACGGTCGTGATGGCCCCATAGGGGTCTCCACTGAAGACCCAGGTGGCTGTGTTCGCATGGCGGCACCACACTCATCGGCACACCCCTCACCATGATCGTGGCCCCAAACGGAGCTCCATCGAAGGCCTCAATGGCTGCGTTCGCATGCCCGCACCGCGCCCATTCCGGCAAACCCCTTACGAGCATCGTGGCTCCATAGAGAGATCCACCGAATTCGCTGCATTCGCATGGCGGCACCGCGCCCATTTTGGCACTCCTCACGAGGATCGCGACCAGCTCCACTCTGGCACCCGGAACGCGGTGTCCGAAGACTCCTACGGCGAATCACCGCCGCCCCCTGCCCCTTTGGAAGCACTTCTGTGGCCGACAGCTGAGCTAGAGCTTGGCCAAGTTATCGGGCCAGTTGTTCCCCGAGTCGGTTTGGAACGACTTCGGAGAACGCATGGGGGAGCAAGAAGAGGAGGAGGGGAGGATGAGGAAAACAGGAGGAGGAGGAGGAGGAGGAGGAGGAGGAGGAGGAGGAGGAGGAGGAGGAGGAGGAGGAGGAGGAGGAGGAGGACGAGGCCTCTTGGGCGCCTCTTGTGGCACTGTTGGAGCCTCCTGGGAGCTTGATGGGGGGCTTTTGGAGGGTTTTCGGGGGCCTTGGGGGGCCTTTTGGGGGCCTCTTTGGCCGTCTTAGGGCGTTTCTGGCTTGTCTGACGCCGCCGGAAGCCGTCTTGGTGGCCTGTCTGGGTCGTATTGGGGCCCTCTTGGGGCACATCAGGGGTTCTTAGAGGCCATCTTGGGCGTCTTGGAGGCCTCTTGGGCCGTTTTGAGGCCCTCTTGGGGCCGTCTTGGGAGCCTTCTGGGCCGTCATGGGGTCATCTTGGAGGCCTCTTGGGCGATCTTGGAGGCCTCTTGAGCCGTCGGAATGCCGAGAAGAAGCAAATGCCAAAGTCCTTCAAAAACCTTTTTGGGAAAGCAATGATTTTCGACTCGTCGTGCCCTCCTGGAAGACCTCCTGGACGCCTTTCAGGCTGTCTTGGAGGCCTCTTGGGGGCCTCTTGGGCCGTCTTGGGCCATCTTGAGGCCATCTTAGGCCGTCTTGGGTGCATCTTGGGCCGTCTTGGAGACATTTTGGGGCTATCTTAGCCGTCTTGGAGGCCATTTCAGCCGTCTTGGAGGCCCCTTGGGCCCTCTTTGGGCCGTCTTGGGGGCCTCTTGGGCTGTCATGGGGCCATCTTGGAGGCCTCGTGGGCGATCTTAGGGCGATCGTGGGGCCGTCTTGAGCCGTCGGAATGCCGAAAAAAGCACATGCCAAAGTCCTTCAAAAACCTTTTTGGGAAAGCAATGATTTTGGCCTCTTCGGGCCTTCCTGGAAGACCTCTTGGAGCCCTCTTGGGCTGTCTTGGAGGCCTCTTGGGGGCCTCTTGGGCCGTCTTGGGCCATCTTGAGGCCATCTTAGGCCGTCTTGGGTGCATCTTGGGCTGTCTTGGAGGTATCTTGGGGCCATCTTAACCGTCTTGGAGGCCATCTTGGGCCGTCTTGGAGCCGTCTGGAGCAGGAACAACCCTTTTGAGCCAGGTCTGGGCAAATTTTCGGCATCCTTCCGGGTAGCCGGCGGGACGCGCCGGAGCCCCAGGGGGAGTTCTTTTGGAAAACGAAACAAAACCAAAAACGATGGGATTCAGCACGCCAGGCACCCCTCTTGCAAGCAACAGGGGGCGGGGGATAACGGAAAGAGCGAGGTACGAGTGATGACGTTTTGGTGTGGGCGAAGCCCTTAAGGGGGGGGGGTCTAATGGCCTTCGGCCCATCCCGCCAACGTGCCTGGATTGTTTGTATAAAGCCTATTGATGCTCGCCGGGATCTCATGGGGGGCCTCTCGGGGGCCTCTTGGAGACAGCTGTGAGGCCTCTTGGGGACCGTTCTGGGCCCTCTTGGGGCCTCCTGGTGGTCTCTTGGGGCGGAATGCTCGGATGTTCGGTTCGTGCTCCCTGTCTTGGGCCCCTTTTGAAGCCGCCCTGAGGCCCTCTTGGGCCGTCTTGGGCGCCTCTTGAGCCGTCTTGAGGCCCTCGTGGAGGCCTCTTGGGGCGTCTTGGCGTGGTCTTGGGGGCCTCTTGGGCCGACATGGAGCGTTGGATCGCCGAACAGGCAAGAACGCCAACATCCCTCACACAATTCCTAGGATCATCCATGATATTTGCCTCTTGGGGCCCTCTTTCAAGGCCTCTTCGAGGCCTCTTGTGACGTCTTGGAGGCCTCTTGGGCCATCTTGAGGCCATCTTGGGCGTCTTGGAGCGATCTTGGGGCGACTTGCCCTCTTTGACAAGCTTGCGGGCCTCTTATAGCCATCTGGGCTCGTTTAGGAACCCTCCTGAGCGGGGTAGGGCGAGACTTCCTCGCATTTTATTCAGGAATCGCGCTCTCGCTTGGGACTTCACTACAATTTATGCAGGAATCGCTCTCCCGGCGCTCTGGAATCGCGCTCTCGTTGGAGACTTGCTTGCAACTTATTGAAGAATAGCCTTGCCCTGGAATCTCTTGCAATTTGCCCAAGCGCCGCGCCCCCGACACCCAGGCACCCAGGAATCGCGCCCGTTGTGGCCCCATGTGCATGCCCTTCGCGGCCCCGCTGTCGCCATTTGTGTCCCCGTCATTGTCCTACGTGGCCCAGTTGCTACCCTCAGTGGCCCCATAGTTGCCTTCTGTGGCCCCGCATTATCTGCACTTCGTGGCCCCCGCTCGTTCGCGCTCTTCGTGGCCCCATACGCATTCCCTTCGTGTCCCCGCTGTCGCCCTTCGTGGCCTACTTCGTGCCCTTCGTGGCCCTGCTGTCGTTCTCTCTCGCTCTCGCTTTCGCTCGTCGTCGCGTCGTCGTCGTCGTCGTCGCCGTCGTCTTCGACGTCGTCGTCGTCGTCGTCGTCGTCGTCGTCGTCGTGGTCGGTCCCCTGTCCGTCCCTCTTGGGGTCGGGTCGACGGTCCGCGGCTGCCCCGCCGATCAGCGCTGCCGCTGGCCAGGCCGACGGTCCGCGGCCGCCCCGTCGCTTGCTGGGGCCCGGCCTGCAGGGAAGAAACGTATACCCCCCAAAAGGGGTTCGATCGAAGACGAAACGGGCGGTCAGCGAAGGTTTGGGAAATACGCTTTATTGGACACTCGAGCATATAAGGGCGAACAGTCTTAAAATCATTGTTGTTGTTGTCGTCGTCGTCGTCGTCGTCGTCGTCGTTGTTGTTGTTGTTGTTGTTGTTGTTGTTGTTGTTGTTGTTGTTGTTGTTGTTGTTGTTGTTGTTGTTGTTGTTGTTGTTGTTGTTGTTGTTGTTGTTGTTGTTCTTGTTCTTGTTCTTGTTCTTGTTCTTGTTCTTGTTCTTGTTCTTGTTGTTGTTGTTGTTGTTGTTGTTGTTGTTGTTGTTGTTGTTGTTGTTGTTGTTGTTGTTGTTGTTGTTGTTGTTGTTGTTGTTGTTTCTGTTGTTGTTGTTGTTGTTGTTGTTGAGCTCTCATTTCTGAAGAGTAATTATGGTTGGCCCCCTCCCACCGGTGCATATTTTAGTCTCAATCAAAATGTGCCCCTCGACGCTCGCACCCTGTTGTTTGATTGGGAAAGTCTTGATGCTCAAACTGGGCCCTTGGCCCCCGGGTTACAACAACAACGGCTCCCGCGTGAGACTCCCACACAACTTCCTTGTATTTTATTCAGGAATCGCGCTCTCGCTTTGGAAATTTATTCAGGAATCTCTCTCTCGGCGCTCTGGAGTCGCGCTCTCGCTGGAGATTTGCTTGCAATTTACTGACGAATAGCGCCCTTGCGTTTCCTGCAATTTACTCCAGCGCCGCGCTCCCGACAACCAGGCACCCAGGAGTCGCGCTCACACTTAGGACACCCTCACAGATTACCTAAGAATCGGGATCTCGCTGCCCTTCGTGGCCCCGGTGCAGCCCTTCGTAGCCCCCTCGGTTTGTTTCGTGGCCCCGTTGCAGCCCTTCGTGGCCCCCTCGCTTTGTTTCGTGGCCCCGTTGCAGCCCCTCGTGGCCT